TGCTCGGGCAGGCCTCTTCCCCCGCACGTTCTCGGGCAGGCCTGGTGCGGCCCACCGCCCGCCATCCGGGCTGCAGGGCCCCTGGGCGGCACTCGTGCGCTGCGGCTGCGTGTGCAGGGGCCAGGCCTGTAAGAACCTTCTCTTTCTTCTCGAAGTGGCGCGGCTTCTCGCCGCTGCCTTACCCCCTTCCCCTTCGGGTGAGTGGCTTTCTCTGGCCGTGGGGAGCCCCAGGTCTACCGAGGCTGTAGCTAACAAGTTGCGAACTTGGAATCAGTCGACCAGGGTTTACCTGGTGTGGTCGAGGTTTTGTGTCCTTGCTTCCTAGTCCTTGAGGTCACCACCAAGGGGATGCGGGGCAGGCCCCACGATGGGGGCCGGCTGTCCCCGGGGGCGGTGGGAGCGACTCTTCCATTCCCGGGGTTTCAAGACTGAGGTTCGACGACGTGGTTCCCTCCGTCCTTCAGTCAGACATTTTGTCCCCACCACGTGCGTGTGTGGAATGGTTAGACGTTTTCATATCGTAAAACTTGAAGAGATGTGTTCTCACTTTGAGCAGTGGGTAGTTGCAGGCTTTTATGTTATTGCCACGTGGTTGCAAATCAATAGAAGGTGATGTAAGGAAATGTAGCCAAAGTTCCTGTAAGAAAAGTACACACGTGGGTCTTCAAAATGCTTTAAAAGCCAGAATTTGAATTCTGCAGAATGTGCTCAAACTAAAGGTCTATTAGAATACTCGATAAGAGTAGTGTTGTTCCCTCTGGAAAAAACAACTGGCCCCTGATCCCAGTTTATGTTTGGTTGCTTGTTTTTTTCCCCCATATGTGAAGTAATATGTCTAACGGTGTATATATGTATTTATGCAGGTGTTAATATTTCGAGTAATCAACTTAGGCCTCACTTCTCTTGCCAGAGTAGGTCAGAGCCATGTGATCGTTTAATTAAAATAAAATTTAAAAGTCAATTTGTCGATCACACTGTCCACTTCTCATGTGCTCGAAAGCAACAAGTGTATACTGTACTGGACACCACTGGCTTGCAGAATCCTCTGGTTTTATTAAATAAATATTTGACTAACAGCAGTATGCTAGGGAAACCAGTGTGAACGAGTCAGAGCTGCCCCTTTCCTTCTGAAGCCCTAGAACCCGTTGGGGGTGGCGCTGGTGCCTGTTGCACTAGGCGAGTTAGAGGGGCCTTTGGAGAGTGTCGTGGGAGTTAAGGAAGGTTCCCACAGGGACTCTAACAGGCGGACTAGGACCAATGATAGGTGCTCGGTTGGGAGAGTAAGCTTTGACCTAAAACCGAAGACCTTTCAGGAGAAATGCTGTAGTAGACTTTGAAGAAAATTTTAAGAGGACTTTGCCTTTATGCAAAACACTTCAAGGCAGATGAAAAGTTCCAAGATGACTCCTTTAAAATCAAACTTAGTCATGTAGTGCCTTATGTATGATGTGTACACCACAGCAGTTTGTAGTATTGTCAGCTCTTAGAGAGTAGGCTTGACTTCTGGGACCCTGCAGATGTCAGTTGGGAAACAGGAAGAACCCATTCCCCCATTGAACGTACTGTTGTAGTGTGGACAGAATGCTCTGAAATACACAACAGTGTATCCTGTTGTTGACCTTAATGATTTTAAAGTCAAGTGAGATCTAAGAATGTTTGAGGAGGGTGAATGGGACTTTGTAAGGTGTTGTTTTGTGTAAGGCTATATGAGCTTTTATTGTGTGTATGGCTTTTGTTTTTGTTTTTATTCAGGGGTTTGAAGAAGATCTTGGTAACAATTATGTATTTATCTTCTCATGTTCTTTGGCCATAGTACATGAGGCCAAGATAATAGATTCAGTTTATCTATTAGTATACCGGTATAATAAATACAAGTATGTTCATTTCCCTAAGGGCTCATAAAGAAATACGTAATTTAATTTTTTCTAAGTCCAAAATAGTTTTTTGTTGTTTTTTTTTTAAAGATGACCGGTAGGGGGGATCTTAACCCTTGACTTGGTGTCAGCACCACGCTCTCCCAAGTGAGCCACAGGCCAGCCCTCAAAATAGTTCTAATAACAGTGTGTCCTCATAGTGAGAAAAAATGGCCTAAGATGGCATTTTAAAATAATCTTCGTAAAGAGTGATAGTTACCGTTTAAAGGCATTTCGTGGTGGTTACTATTTAACAACATTTTATAGGCAAAGATGGGAAATACTTTGTGTTTATAAAGTTCAGAAATATTTTATATAAAATGTTGTCAGTTACCTCACTGAGAATAAATTGTACAGTGCTAGAGCATACTATATACACCACAAAAATTGGTGGTATTGTCAGTAAGGTGAGGACATGGACATGCAATAGCAAGACACACACCAAGTTTAGTTGTTTAGTTGTATTTCAGAATTGGAAAAAAATACCTGGTCTTCCTTATGTGAGGTTCTCATCCATCCATTACACTGAACATGCCATTCTGTTATTATGAGCACCTTATTAACCATGAATCTGGGGACAGCTAGTCTTCCTATTAGCTCTGTTTGAATTTTTCATTCACTGTTGGAAAGCCAAGCAGTTCCTTCCTGTGGTTCACAGTCTATGCCCCTGTGAAATGCTGGTGTGCTATATGCTGGATTGTGACATTTCTTATATTATAAATAAAAGTAGTCTTTCCTTAATCTCATCTTTAAAAAAATTTAGATTTTCTTTAGCATGGTGTTTTTCTTTTTTTATTTTTTTCCTCCCAACTTTTGGCATCTACTGTTGTGTCTAAGGCATGTATGAGGTAATTTTGGGCTCAATCAGATATTCTAATTGGTTACATAGCAATTAATTGATTTTCCCCCTTGTATAAGTAATACATCTTCGAAGAAATTTGCATGCAGATAAGCTGAAAAAAATAGCAGGTATAGATAAGCAAAAAGAAGAAAATAGGAATCACGGCCATCTTACCATCTAGACATTCTGGTGTATAATCTATGACAATGTTTAATTTTTTTTAAACTCATGTAACATGTACACTATCCTGTTGCCTTTTTTTTAAGAGTACAGTGAACGTTATTTTTTTGTGTTATTTATTATTTTACAGTCCCATTTTGAATGTCTGCATAGATCATAAGTTAGCCATCCCTTTATGTTATTTACAAGGTTTTTTTTTTTTTTTTCTGTTTTAAATAGTGCTGAAATGAAAATCTTGTAATGTGAATCCTTTTCTGCCAAATTACTTTTCCCAGTGCTTCCCTTCTTTACATACCCACCAGTAGGATATGGATGTTTCCATGCTTCATGCCAACAGTTCTGCCACCTAAACATTGGAGAATCACTGATAGAAATCTGTTCTATGGTCATTTTTTTTTTTAAAGATGACTGGTAAGAGGATCTTAACCCTTGACTTGGTGTTGTCAGCACCATGCTCACCCAGTGAGCTAACCGGCCATCCCTATATGAGATCCGAACCCGTGGCCTTGGTGTTATCAGCACCACACTCTCCCGAGCAAGCCATGGGCCGGCCCTATGGTCATTTTGAAAACATTCTTTTTTTTTTTTTTTTTTTTTTTTTTTTTTTTTTTTTTTTTTTT